CTTCATGTAACATGGCACAGTGGTAAAATAGTTATATATTTACCTTAGTTATTGTCTTTACCCATTGTCTCTTATCACTCTTGTTTGTTAGCACTGAAGAGGTAAGTTCTACCAGTAACTGTCCCAATCTCAAAACAATAAGTATGCCTTTAAACAAATAATATATAATCAGTTGAAAAATTATGAACAGACAAATCAAGATGATGTGAATAGGATCTGTTACTTTTTAAGGTTCCTAGTAAGTATGGTATTTAATTTTTTCGAGTTTTCAATGAAATGATATTCAATTTGCATTAAATGCTCAGTAGATACAAAACTTGATATATGAGAGTGCATCTCAAACAGCAGTGCATACAAACAATTTTGTAAATCATAGAAATAACTCTAAGTGTATGTGCTACTAATACAGCAAATACAATACGCTGTAAAGAAATAATAGAACCATTAAATCTGTATTGGAAGTCGCATTCTTAATAGAAGTCGCACAAATTCATTTTGAACAACTGAGTCCCAAAAAATCACCATTGTACAGAAACAGCATCCCCTCTGTTGCACTGTACCATTTCAATAGAAACCATGGCTTCTATTAATACAGATTTTACAGTATGTGTGAACAGTAATTTTCTTATGAATAAAATTGTAGAAAATTTGTAGATACTCACGACTGTTTTATTGCATCCTCTGGAGTAATATTTGATATACTGAGAATATCCCGAGCTTCTATATTATTTTTTGGAGATGATGTTACCTACATATATACAAAGAATACACCATGTAACATATATAGCATATTATTATACATCTGTCACCGTAAATAATAGAATTTACCAATCCATAAAATGGCATACAAAAGTGCTATGGACGTGTGTTTGAATGTCTTCCTTGTTTGGAAATTTTCTTTTGTTTACTTCAGATGTAGAAGCGCTATTAGCACAGGATGAAAATAGAATTAAAAAAACAAAACATTCACACAGCATGAAATGTTCTCTCATTAAATTAATATTACAAGCAAGAAAAAAAAAGTTTTTTTATCATTTTTTAAAATTATTTTTGCGTGAGGCAATAGTTTTGGACATTGAATGTCTTTGTTGT